TTATTATACTAAACTTATTGTCCCTCAGTTCATCTTTTTATAAATTTTAAAGTGAGATGTAAATATTTACACTTTTGACTTAAAACAAAAAGAAACAAAAAACTCTGCCTTTATCCTAAAAAGCAATTATGTATGGCAGCCCCAATCTGAATTGAATATCCAAATATTTTGAATAGCTACCTTCAGCTTTGTAGGCCTATGTGTTTTCCCCCTCCATACTTTAAAATTAGCAACTCTTGGACTGGGCTTGTAACTCAGTGGTAGAGCACTTGCCTCACATGCGGGAGGCCCTGGGTTCGAGCTTAGCACCACATAAAAAAAATAAACAAGTAAAAATAAAGATATTTTTAAAAATTAGCAACTCTTAAGAACTTTCACCATAGATAGACAGAGGAAAGGGGATAACTTGATGAATTAGCAAGGCAGAGTCAGTTTTGTTTGTTATAAGGGATCATTTTGGTTTTAGAAAGTGATAGGAAGTCTTGTGGGAAGTGGGAGGTTTTGCTGAAAGGATCCTCCTGATAACAGATTTTTGCCAAACCTGCTCCCATCATGGCCGTGATGGAATTGAAGTTCTGGAAAGTGTTTATTTCCTGAGGGAGGAAAAGTGACAATTTATCAAGACCCTTTCACAGTCATGTTTTGAGGGAGGTGAGCTGTGTGTATCATCTGCAAAGAGGACTCCGGAAGAGGCCCTAGTGGACCATCGGCTTCTGTGGGAGCTGTGGCCAAACCTTGGCCTCCACAGTGGGGCGGGTCTCTGTATCCCCTCTTTAGGAAGTAGCTGAGTACAACTCTTTATGTCCTTTCTGATCTCTCTGAGCAAGATGAGTATGCTCTTGAGTGCTTCTTCATTAGAAGTGTTAAAAAAAGATACTCAATAGAGAATTAGAAAATTTCAGAGAGAATTTAGTTCAATCACTTCTTTTCTAGGCAGTTCTAGACCCACAGCATTCAAAATGAATAGAATATTATCTTTAAAACATCTAGATTATAAACCAGCATGGTGGCCCATGTCTATAATCCCAACGACTTGGGAGGCTAAGGCAGGAAGATGACAAGTTCAATGCCAGCCTCAGCAACTTAGTGAGGCCCTAAGCAAATTAGCAAGACCCTGTCTCAAAATATAAAATAAAAAGGACTAGGGATGTGGCTTCCGTGGTTGAGTGCCCCAGGTTCAATCCCTGGCACCAAAAAAAAAAAAATATATATATATATATATGTATATATATATATATATATATATATATATATATATATATATATCATCTAGATTACAGATTTCACATTCTGTATAACCTGTTTCATTGTTCTGGGCAAGCATCTTACTTTGTGATCATAGAATTTTTCTAGAAATGACATTCTCAACTTGCTGATACAATGATATGAACCACAGGGAAGAAAATTGAAATAGTGCTTTAATTTGGGAAAAGAAAGAAATGTTCTGTATTGTAAGCTCCCTATTATTTCTCTCTATTATTTTGGATCTTTAAAATAACTGTGGATGTGCTTTGCAATTTGTTGTACTCTCTACCTAAACATTTATTTATTTGTTTGTTTTGAGGTGCTGGGGATGAAACCTAGGCCCTTGAGCATACATGCCCTACTGAACCCCAAGCTCCTTATTTTTCTTATAAGAGAGGCTCTCCCTGTGTTGCTCAGGCTGGCCTGGAACTCGCAGTCCTCCTGCCTCAGCCTCTCAAGCAGCTGAGATGACAGGCATGTGCTGCCATATCCCACTTCCACCTAAACATTTAAATTTTTTAAAAAAATGTGTAGTCAGTGGGATGATTTTTCAGATTTCAGCAATGACCGTTCCTATCCTTTTAATTTTATCAAAATAGCGTTATTCTTCAAAACAGTGGATCTGTGGCGCTTACCTAGATCAGAACAGTGCACGACTCGTGAATAGCATTGGCATCCAAATGGACATGTTGGAAACAAATCAAATGGGAAAAAGGGGTGCGTTGGCTCTTTTGTTGGAAAAAGAGAGTTGTCATCATCGTCGTCATCGTCATCTGCATCTTCCATATCCTTCAGCATCATATTCTTCAGTGTCATGTTTGAAGGGCTAAAGAAGGGTTTGGCAGAGCACACAGCCAAGAGCAATAGAAGCACATATTCCTTCATGCTCTCTTAGGTGCAAGACTGATCTAGGACTAAGTAGACATTGAGCATTAAGTTAGAATTTAAACAGACATAACTTCTGCATCTATGCATTTCTGCGTCCTGGCAAAAATACAATAAAATGGCATTCTTCTGCTTTGGTAGGTAGTATGAGGGTAAATTTATAAAAACTTTTTGGAAAGCAACTTAGCAATAAGCTTTGGGAGCTTTAAAAAAAATCTTTATTTGCTATTTACAAATTCTGCTTTTTGGAATCTAATCTCAGGAAATAGTTAAAAAGTTCAAAAAGATGTTCATCACAGAATAATTTATAATATAAAAAATTAAAAGACAATCCTAGTGGTTAATGTAGTGATAACAGTAAAATTAAATAGGGTAGGGTTTATTTATTCCATGAAATATTTTGGAACCTACAAGATGTTTTATAAAGACATTTTAAAATGAGGTTATAAAAGCAATTATAAAAACTCCATACCTACTATACTTACAAATGCAAAGGCAGGAGAAAAAAAAACAACCTACATGCATATACCTGGTTAAAAATAAGCTTTGGTAGTAGAATCACAAACAACTTTTGTCTTTTCCCCCTTTCACTTTAATTTTTATAATGAGCAATAAGTAATGCTTATATAATTAGAAAATGAATGAATATTTTTAAAAACATATCTATGACCCTGTCAGAGAAACATCATCAGCGTCCCTTAGACAACATCTGGAAATTTTCCTCAACCATTTTCTCTTCACTCTCTCCAACCTTCCGCTCATCTTTGGTCACTTTTTCCACAATGTCATTGGTATCTTCTTACTTCTAATCTGTTCCATTGTCTAACACCTGATCCAATCCAAGTGATGTCCAGACTCTTTATTCATTTTTCCAGTGAGTTTTGTTTTTGGTGGGTGCTGCATTGGTTTTAGTTATGATTTTTTTTTTTAAAGCTCACACAAAACTGGAACATATTAATGAGAACCCTCAGAGCGTAGATTCATTGCCATGTGTCGGCTGATATTTCCACAGGGATGTTTACATGTAGTTTCTTAACTACTTCAGTGAAACTGGCACATTCTTAGAAATTTCTATAAAATTAAAAACATTATGAAATCATCCCAAATAAGTGTATCCCAGAGAAGCCCATTCATGAGACCCAGTCCTGGCAGGCGGGCATTTACTGGCCTCCCTAGCAGAAGCTCCACAGGATGTTTCTCAGCCTAATTCATTTAAAAGTCCTCTGGCCCTCAGTCGCTTGAGTGCCAACAGTGAATGAATAGGAGAGACTTCATTCAGGGCTAGCCTTGCCTCAGGAAGACCTCCTCCCCTAGTCCCTGAGTCCTCTCAGCTGTTACTATTTCCCAGAACACAGAAATCAGCTTTAATATCACTGCATGGGCTTGGGTTTCCCTGAACTCAATAAGCAATTAACTCCCTGGCTTAATTAAACTACACATTTGCACATGGTGTGTCTTTTTTAATCACCAAAAGAGTGTTAGAAAATCCTACTATGAGTTATTAATCTGAAAATTATTTTATATGCTCCAGAAATCTAAATGGTGATGTGAACATTTGCCCACTGGGTAGCTGTGTCACACTGACCAAGTGTGTATGCAATCTCGGTGATAATCTACACTTGAATATACTAGGAAAGAGATTACAGCAAAGCTAAGAAAGTCAAAAAACTTTCTATAGTTTAGTGTTGCCATTGATGCTGTGGGTCCTACCTGCTGGTAAATCCTGACAAAGGTCTAGGGAAGGTCATCTGGTCTTCATTTTCAGAATCACTTTTTCCTGACTCTGTTTCTCAGCTCTCTGCCTAATTTTGACCCATTATGTTTTTTAGACTTCAGGTTTTTTTGAAGTTCCTGGATCCTTAGTGTTTAGTTCCTGGCTTCACCTGGACCTCCAAAATACTCAATTCCCTGGAAATTCAGCTCTAGGTCATTAGCTGAATCAAAACTTGTCCTTGATTCTAGTGCATTCTTTAGTATTCTTAAGTTTTAGCTCCATCTTCCAGGTTCAAAGCTCTTCTTGACCATGGTGATGAGAAACTTTCAATGTCATGTGAAATCCTGTCTCTGGCTTAGTTTGAGGTTGCTAGAATTATTCACTGGGCATTTCTTATACACACACTGTGCCCTAGGAATTATGTCACGATGCTGAATGGGTGGGCTGGAGCACTTCTCTCTCCTCTCTCTATTCTCTCTCATATTTCCCTTATTAAAGCACAACCACAACTCCTAATCAACTACTCTGAGGAAAGTATGTGATTGTTAAAGTTAATCCTTGAAGTTGGGCATAGTTGCACATGCCTATAATCCCAGTGACTCAGGAGGCTGAGGCAGGAGGATCGAAAGTTAGAGGCCAGTCTCAGCAATTTAGTGAGGCCCTAAGCAACATAGTGAGACCCTGTCTCAAAATAAGAAATAAAAGGGGCTGGGGGTATGGTTAAGCGCTCCTGTGTTCAATCCCTGGTACCAAAAAAAAAAAAAAAGATTGATACTTTAATGTTAGGTGCATTGATAGAAAATTTAAAAATAAAACACCTAAACTAATAGACTAGTAAAAGACAATGTTAGCTATGTACACTTGCTCTGGAGTGGGGATCTCAAACATTTGAATAGGAATGTGTGTCTCTAGCTTTCGGAAAGTGATATTCTTTGTTAGGTGTCTCTCTGCTCTCATAATTGTCAGTTGCTGTTTGAGATCAACAAAGCTGAAGATATTTGTGAAAACATACATGCATATGAAAAAAGAGCATACAATACCTAGTTTTGAAATAGTGCACAATAACTGGTAAGAGTAAGGGTGGTCAGATTGTGAGTGAAGCATTATTTTCTCATGCATGATTTTTTTTTAAATTATACCGCCTTTATTATTACAAAAAAGTAAGGAACACTTCATGAATTTGCGTGCCATCCTTCCACAGGGGCCATGCTAATCTCTGTATCGTTCCAATTTTAGTATATGTGCTGCTGAAGCAAACACTCATGCATGATTTTTAAAATTATGTTGCATTAAAATTTTTCAAAATTCTGGTTTGCCAACAAAGTCTGCTTTGCTTTGATCTTACCTATGTACCTTTGCCTTTTCCTGCCCCGTCTCCAGCGACTGATATCACAGGTGGTACAGTTAAGGATTTCCTGGATACTCTTCTGATTTATTTCCCCCTAAAGTCAAACAAAAGCACCTAACTGGGAAATTGTTTTGAAGTTCATAATTTCTTGATTCCTAACCTCATTTTCTGGTTTGTAGGAAATAAAGTTTTGGTTTTGTTTCTTTGGGGCATTGGGTATTGAATCCCAGGACACTTAACCACTAAACTCTATCCCCAGCCATTTTTATTTTTTATTTTGAGACAGGGTCTCACTTAAGGCTGGCCTTGAAATTGCAATCCTACTGCCTCAGCCTCCCAAGTCACTGGGATTACAGGGTGTGCTATTGCGCCTGACTTATGAAATAAGGATTTTTAATGAAGTTGTTTGTTTATTTTTCATTTGGTTGGTTGTTTCAACATGTTTTCTCCTAGAAACTTTGAGCTATAAGGATTTAAATTCCCAGTCTACACAAGGAAAAAAATATATCTTTTAACACATAATATAACTGAAATAGAAAACTAAAGACACTACAGAACTGGAAAAATATATATATAACATATAATAAGAGGAATGTGTTGGAGTTCCAGAGCAGATGCCAAGAACATGTCTTGGTTTTCCTTGTGGCCTGGCAGCAGGAGTTAAGGGCTGGCCTTGCTCCTGTGCAGGCCACATGCTGGTCTGCCAGATTCCTTCAGCCTTGTAGCCTCCATGAGCTCAGGAGAAGCTCCCTCAGTGCCAGCCAGAGGTTCAGGCTGAGGGGCAGGATAAGGGGTGAGAAGCAGAATTTGGAGTAGAAAGGATAATGAGAGGCTGGCTACACAGGGCCGAGAAAGGGGGAGCACAACAGTGACAGGCTTGCTGTTCCATATCCCGCTGCAACTGTGCCGAGCAGCCCACCCTGGGTCAGCAGAGTGTCAGGCAGGGTTCCTCCGATTCTCTGTCTTCTTTTTTAGACTGGTGTATCTCATGAAAGCCTTTATTCAAATCAGAGATGAAGTGAAAACATGCAATTGAGACTGCTGCCTGCAAGTAAAGGGGGAATGTTGCAATTGTGTGAGTAATGTGGTAGCTGGGCTCTTCACTGGTGACAGATGGAGGCCTGTGGATGCAGGGCCTGTCGTCTAATTGAAGTTTCCTCTTGGTGGTGAAGGTTCCAGAACATTCTGAACCACTGTGCTTGAATATCTCCGGTGAAAGGACTCAAAGGGAACCCACCACCTCAATGCATCATCATCCACTGCTACCCATTGATGGCTTTAGAAAACTCCTTATATTGACACCCAAAACACCTTCTGGCAAATTATTTTCTCTGTGCTAGCTCTGTGTTCTCTTGGCCCTATAAGAATAATTGTGTGTTCTCTTATCCTGGTTGCTTGCAAAGAAAAGTCAGGCCAGCCTTGATTCCTTGAGGAATTCACTGTTTATACTCTCTGCCTCATGTGTTGGGCCTCTGCCTGAGGCTCCATTGGCCCACAAGTAGGTCCTAGGCTTTCCCGTGTTCTGCTGCACAGTTGCTAACCCATAGATAAATAGTAGACTATCTAGGAGGGAATATTTGATAGCTGTGCTTTCTCATTCAGGAAGAATATAGAGAATATCATGTCTTACTTAAAATGATATGCTTTTTAATTTTATTTAAAATTTTGAGTTTCTTAATATGCCTCAAACTCAGTTTTATTAGTTTTGGCATCATTTAGTCTGTGCTATTTTTGAAACTTTAAAAAATATTTATATCTTGTTCTCAGGAAGACTCAATATTTCCCTGACTTTAACCAGTTTTGCCAGTGTGTTCTACTCCTGGACAGCTTTGGATTTTGGACTCAGGTTTCTCTTAATCAGAAGACTGTTTAAAATATTATTCCTGTGCTCCTGCAGTTACTAATAAATCATAGCCATTTAGACATGAGAGAGGCCTCTAAGACATTCCTACAGGGACCTCTTTTTATAAAGAAAGAAGCGGAGGCTTGGGAGTCCAAAACTCCCTGGAGATGGCAGAGCTGAGGCAGCATCCTCTTTCCTCACTGCTGCGCTTTCCACCATGCTCAGCCTCTCAGTGGATTTTCATCTTATTATTTATGCACAGTAAACAGACTTTCCTCTGGAAAATATGCTTTGACCAGGTCCTCAAAAGGCTTCATAACAGAACTAGAAATGTAGCTGAGAAATGCGACAGTGTCCTTTATACCGCTCCAGATTTGGAATGGAAAATGTGTCTAAGTGAAATGGTATTTCCTCTGAGACGCTGTGTTTAATAAACAAGTCACCGTGCTTTTAAATCCCATGTTTATAGATCCACTTTGCAGTTTCCCTTCTTGGCTTCCACATTCCTATCAGTTCACAGGTACCAGTTATAGGTTTTAGTATATAAATGTGACATAACATAACATGCCCCACATGGTTCACAGAAAGAATCCAAACCATATTCAGATATAATCAAGACAGCCTTGTAAGCTAACAAGTTAAAACTCCAAGCATGCATTTGGAAATTGTTATGCACAGTACCATTTGTTTTGGACACTGATGCTTTTAAAACAACATTTTCTACAGGAAACAATTAATTTTACTTTAGAAGTATAAATAGCATTCTGATTAAAGACCTTTTGACTGCTTTTCCTTTCATATCAGTTTTTCCTTCATAAATTTTTTAATATCTCTAGCAACCTAGCTGCTATTAAAAAAAAAAAAAAAACCCACCTTCCTGCCCCTCCTTTTTCTGACATTTACTACAATGCCTTACTTGCAAAGTTAGCCTATTTTGCTTCAAACCTCAGCTCAGGTATGGGAATATTCTTTTTAAATGTAGTGGTTAGTTGTAATAGAAGACTGCATATCCTCCTCCTTTCTACTATGGCACAATATTGCTGAATGCCAAAAGCAAACAGAAAACATGAAGATGCTTTTACATGGGTGTGGACTTGTGATTTATTTTTCTTTTTTAACAACTCAATGATTCTTGGTGGGATTACAAAAAAGAAAAAGGGGGAGGCTTTATTTTTAGGGAGATATAAACCCTTCAGGTTCTTTATGACTCAGTCCCTAAAGCATGTGGCCACTGTTCCTTGGCTGCCACACCTCTGAACAGATGAACATGAAAGAATGCTCTGCTCTGTTTAGATTACCAGGGAGCAGAATATTGAACACATTGCCTAATATTTTAAATCTAAGATTTCATAAAAAATTTGGGAAAGGATAAAGGGAATCTTTGAATGTATTAAATTCTAACTATGGATTTTATTAAAAGCAGTCCCTAATTTTTCATATGGAATATAGAAATAGTTAAACTATTGCTGGTATTTTTTGAAATTATGTGGATTTATTGTTCAGTACCATTTCATTGCATAAAAAATAAGAAAGACATTTAAAATATCGAAGAAAATATGGACATTCAAATGTGTAAGTAAAAATGATATTTGAATAATTCACACATTTTAAAAACACATTAGAAAATGTCAGTTTTACACTTTGAAATAAATATTTGCTATTTTATCCCCAAACTTCATTATCATCAATGACTAAAGTAATGCTATTTTCCTAAAAGAACATATGTCTACTGAAGTAATTTTTAAAATCAGTCATGTTTGGTTTTTATTATAAAGCTTAATGACTGGTTTTCTCTTAGCTATTATAAAAGAGATTATATTTAAAATAAATTTATTATGCAAAAGGCATAAAACTATAGTAATTTTAAGTACAAATTTAGGTTTGTATTTAAATGGTGATTTTTAAGAAACTATAAAAATAAGCTTTAAACTTTACCATATTATTTACAAATGTTTATTAGTAACATTAATGTCTCCCATTATTGACTATAAAATAATTATATACTGGCACATGTAAGATAGACTTGAAAACATACCTTGTCAGAAGAGAGTAGTGGTCTTGAAAGTAGAATTTATCCACCCTGCACTACTTATCTGTAATGTAAATGTTCTCAGGCACTGTTTAAAAAGAAAATATGAGAATGTGTTACATTTAAAAGAAAAAAAAAAACTCACTAACACAGCTGCACCCTGGTGTGGCTGCACCCTGGGTGATACTGGAATAAACTGCTTCCACAGATTAGTCCATGTTAGTACTGAGGAGCGAGATTAAAACTTGTTACTGCTCATATGTTTTCCATCACTGTTTGTATCGTAGCCAAAACTTCTAGCTAAACTCTAGACGTCTACTGGAAGATTCGGAAGAAAAAAAAAGAGAGTTTAATAATGCATGGCAGCCGGCCATTGAAATTACAGTCAGAGTCACTCAAATACCTGATTTGAAAAAAACACTATGAAATTCTTAAATGAGTGATTACTTATAAACTGCAATTTCAAAAATCATTCACCCTGTATAAACTATTAAGATATTTGTCAATCTTAGTAAAGAACACCAACATTACTGAATTGTAAACCCAAATTCCAGTGGACCTGAGAATGGAGTCCAGGCTTTTGTTTTCTCCTAATGACTGAAGCTATTACATTAAACAAATTTCTCAAGTCTTTTTTTTTTTTTTTTTTTTTTTTTTTAAAAAAAAAAAGCTCTTATTCCAGCCATAGGCATGTCAAAGGAACTGCAGACAAGGCCCTGCAAGCTGCTCCCCAGCCCTAGCACATAGTATGGTGCAAACAGATGAGTGACCAGGTAACTCCTTTGGATTTTTGCAGGTTCCCCTTTGCAGTAAGGGGAACTTGGCTATGCCCTCACTAGGAATTTGGAGACCTGAAAGCAGGGAAGATGCTGTACTCTGAGAAGAAAATCATTGTTTGTGTCCCCCTTTTCCACTTAACCCTGAGAAATTGCCCACTTCCCATCCACTAAGACAGTCCTTTGAGATAAGACATTTTTCTAACTCTAGGGACAAAGACTCACCCTGCATAGTGGTCCCCAGTGGATCACCTGGTTGTTGTG